TCACGCCAACTGCAGTTGCTGGCCGGGTTGGGCTGTGGTGAAGTTCGTGCGTGTGCAGTGAGGACAGGCGACGTTCAGAAGTTTGCTGTAACCCAGCTGGCGTGGGGACCAGCACAGGGAAGACGTGCTGTCCCGGCCCTGGGGGCGGCTTGCACAGCCTTCCCAGAGCCCTGCAACCGGCGCTGCCGCCGAAGGGTAAGTGCAAATGACCGCAAACCCGCTTTGCGAGCTGGTGTGTGACTGTGGGTGATACCTCATTTAATCACACCAGCTCCAGCCCAGTGCTCTGCGGAGCCCGTGCTGGTAAAGGTTTTTGCTGCGGTACAGGATCAGGTTGGGGAAGGTGTGCATCAGTGACCAGGGTGCAGGCACACCCCTCTGACACAGGTAAAAGTAAACAGCTTGGGTGAAGAATGAGGAACACGTGATATTTCTTTGAAGGAGCTTTTTTACTCATTCTACGCGCTAACTTACTGGAGCATTTAAGAGAAATATTTAAAGAATCATTATTCTTCTAAGTCGGGGGATACATGTCACATCTCTGCTCTGGAGAGTGGTGGCGACAACTCTTTTTTTGCTTCAACTCATAGTTTTGGGATGCTTGAAATGTGCAGTACCAGATCATGCATTTCTTTTCAGCCTTAGCCTGTTGCATATCTGGCCTGCAACATGAGCAGCAGTTGATCAAAGGTTTTGGGTTTGTTCCTTCTCAAACGCATAGTGACTATTAAAAGTGTTTCAAATCATCTACCTGGTTTATAGATTAAACACATGCTTCCTATTCATATGCTCTAATTTTGATGCAAATACAGCATTTGAAAATACCTCTTCTAAACCCATATATCTGATACAAACAGGCAGCTGCACGGGGATGACACACTCAGGGAAGAACGGCTTCAAACACGAACACCAGCCAACAGAAGCCAGTGGTGTTCATGGAAGGAGCTTGTCAGTAGGATTTGTAATTCATGTTGAAGTAGTTGAAACGGCTCTGAAATCACGACTAGCTCTCATGACACTCAGAGGGAGAAATGACCACAATTTTCTCTCTTCCCCAAGACCCCGTGCATGAGGCCAGTTTGCAGTGACAGCAGGCACTACGGCTCGGTGTCTGGGCTCATGTTCCACATTTTGGGAACATGAGGGGATGCTGGGGTTGCAGCATTATCTTGCCCAGGATCTCTGGCCCCTGCAGTTTCTCCCTGGAGCTCAAGCCTATATATTTTGGGTGTGTTGTGCTATGAACTGAGGGAGATGTCACCCACCCATGCATGGTTCCCCATCACGCCAGGCAGAGAGCCAGAGGGGAACTACAGTCCTTGGCAGCCGCTGGGAAAACCCACTCATGGCTACATGATCTGCAATCTGCTTGAGCAATTCCTTCCTTCTCAAATTATTTCAGTGTGAGAAGAACAAACTGCCAAGAGGGACTTGGAGGTGCTGGTGGATGAAAAGCTGGACATGAGCCGGCAATGTGCGCTGGCAGCCCAGGTGGCCAACCGTACTCTGGGCTGCATCAGGAGAAGCGTGGCCAGCAGGTCGAGGGAGGTGATTCTGCCCCTCTACTCTGCTCTGGTGAGACCTCACCTGGAGTACTGCGTCCAGCTCTGGAGCCCTCAGCACAAGAAGGACATGGAAGTGTTGGAGCGGGTCCAGAGGAGGGCCACAAAAATGATCCGAGGGCTGGAGCACCTCTCCTATGAGGACAGGCTGAGGGAGTTGGGCTTGTTCAGCCTGGAGAAGAGAAGGCTGCGGGGAGACCTGATTGCGGCCTTTCAGTACCTAAAGGGGGCCTATAGGAAAGATGGGGAAAATCTTTTTAGTAGGGCCAGCAGTGACAAGACAAGGGGTAATGGTTTTAAACTAAACCAGGGTAGGTTTAGACTAGATATAAGGAAGAAATTCTTTACAATG